ACGTTACGTCACAATTCTTTCGATGGCTACGTGTAATTTATCGCTTCACGGTCCTCTAATTAATTCCTTTGATTATCGCCACATTGTTCGCGTGTATATTGTGCCTGGATTTTTCGGATCTTAACTGATCAGAGTTTTGAACTGCACGAATGTCTATTGAAGTCTCTGACCGAAGTATTTAACGAATGCCAGCTGCAGGATTTGTCGATCATGTTCAACGAACGCATCTTCTTAAAGTATTTCCTCAATTCGCTCGTTAATAACAGAATTTCACCACCAAGTCCATAAAGAGTTCTTCTTTGACGCTTCAGGGCATTCAGCTTTTTCTTATTCCACGCCATATAGGCATAACAACTTCAGAAGTCATGTGCTTAAAGAACACTATAATTTTCTATTGTACGAATGTTATTTTATCTCTGAAGAAAGAATTTATTCCTTGGTTATTTATCGATCAATATACAAGCTGAATGATTGAATCTGCAGAGCTATTAGATGTCATTGTGAGCAATTTCTGTGATTCCTGATTTCTAGATTCCTGATAAGGCATATTATGCAACAGAAGATGAAGCACTTGAGTTTCTTCGTTAGCCAAACTAAGGATTTGTTGAATGTCTCTGTATCTTGATAAAAGATATTACCATAAAATACTGTTTTATCATGCTATTTTATTTCGATGCATGTTGCATTTCGGTGCAAGCTTGAAAACTGCTCTAAACAGTCGAAAAGAAAATTGAAAATAAGAATAAAGTGGTATAGAGAGGCCCCTCGAATAATATGTCAGCGATGGAGGAACTTTGTCAAAATACGGTCTTGAACCCCACGCTATTGAAAGATTAGTGCTCTGAGCAAATAATAATGCTTATAATAGAAAGGTCAAGCGGACCTCAAAACCTAATGCTTCAGGCCGCATGTGGCCTACTGGTCGCGTGTTTGGCATGCTTACTTCAAACCATTCTTGTTATTAGGAAAGGAAATTATGTAGGTAGTTAGTCCTAGATAAAACAAAATTCAATTCTAAGCAACTAAATGTGTAAAAAGATACGTTATTTAAAAGAAATCATTTCTCTATATTATTCTTTCGTTTCTGTTTTGGATATTTAGTAGATTCTTCGATCTAAAAAAATAATCACCGCTGTATAATGCCACTAAGATCCTAACTGAATAATTTGTATTTAAGGCAATATTATCTCTTCGAGATTAGTTATCAAAGTCAAATATAAAAATTGTAACTTATATTTATTTATACAGGAGCTTCATGTATTAAAATGGCTGAGCAGTTATAAAGAAGAAGTATGGCTTCTATTAAATGTTTCTGGTAATCGAAAGCTGTGTGCCTATCCTATTTGTCTGTCGAATGTTAATCTGGTTGTCCATTAAGGACTAGAAATTAAACTCAATCGTGCAACCACGAATTTTTGTTGCACGCTGACGCGAGAAACGAGATCTCCGTGATCTGCCCCTGAAGCTTGCAACCGGAGTCGCGTCGGGAAATCGAATCGACGAAGAGGGCGAGCGAAAACTTAGTATCGACCCCCGTTATCGGGCAGAACAATGCGGAACCGCAATTAATAGGGCCTGTAATCGGACACTGGTACCCGCGCGTACCCGGGGTGAAATATGCAAATTCGATCGGACACGGTTTTAGAAATCCGCCACGGCCCTCCTCGTCCGCCAACAATGCGTGACTCCATCGACAATAGGAAATAATAAACCGTGATAAATAGCCTGGCAAATACGCACGACAATCGCGGATCTCCTTTCCTGAGCCTAACTCTCCCGTCTCCTCTGTCGAGCTCTCTCCTTGGTCGCTTCCAGGTGGACTGATTCATATTCCCGAACAAATACGCTCGGCAAATATCGCGCGGGTTGACGGACGGGGGGGTTTTATGCGCCCTTAAGCAAATACCAGCGTTAATTTCCTCGTTCGCGTGTCCCCGTTGCGTTCAATTTTCCAACGGTGAGCATAATTGAGCAGCTCTCTAAGAAAAATTTCAATTTCTAAATTTAACAGATACGAAAAGATACGAATCATGACTGAATCGCGGATGTTTATGCATGTAAGATACGCAAAAAACCTATAAGATTTATGCACGTACGCAAGAGATGCTAAACATGCAAGTAATGAATACGTACAGTATTTATTACTGTCGCATTTTTTGAGAAATAAATATTATTATACATTATTCCATTCTGCATAATTAATCTGTGGTGTATTATAATGTGCAGCAATAGAATTTATAATTTAAAACGAATGTTACGTGTCCTATTAAATCCCCAATCTCAAGAATATTTTATCCCAGGTCGTTATCCCGAAGACGTATATGAATCCGAATGAAATTGCGGTCCATTGCTGGATGGCAGTTTTGGAGGCTCGAACCCTGAAGAGGCAGCACTAATCAAAAGTGGTCCACGGAGACAGATTGAGGGGCGTGCTGAAACAAATCAGCCTTTTGTTTTACGGCTCTAAAACGGCCGTTGGGGATTTAGAACGCGAAGTTACGTCCATTCATTAAAACACCCCAGCTGCGAGACCGAAAAGCCTTCGTGGCTCATTCAAAAACTGCGTAATCGTTGTTCTCTAACACTCGCTATACCGTTTTAGCGCTCCTGTGCATCTCGCACGAAGAGAAATCTATTTTTAAACGCAAATTGGGGGTTGAAGTAACGTGAAGTATATTCGTTATGATTAATCCGTTACGATTTTAAATAAGATTAATTTTTATAGTTAACAGTTATATTAGATATGATCGATGAAATCAGTTTTTCAATGACGTTCAGTGACGTATCATAAAGTACTAAAATATATTTCTAACTGATATGATTGTATTTCAAATGTTGGAATTGATGCTTACTTTATATTCTTTTTGTAACAAACGAAGTTTAATCATCTTCACTATATAATTTTTCCAGATTTTTCTGAACCACATCTGATTTAATTTTGTTTTAATTTAAATGTACTTATTTTTGTATAAAATATGGTGACACGTTTCTATACTTATTTACGTGTAAAGGGTCAAATAAATTATTAACGCTCCATAAATAAATTATAAGGTCGATAAGAACAATTACAAGGGATGCAACGAATAATCACGTTGGTAGCTAATCAATCTGTTGATGAGAAGGGGTTAAACGATGCATCGTGGCGTAAATAATTCGAATTAATGTCTTTGGCCCCCGGTCTGGTTCCCTCAGGGCCATCTTGATGAAAAATAAGGATTTCTCCCGTTGTCCTTTGAGATTCTGATTATCTCTCACCCCTATCATACAGATCCTGATGAACGAGATAGATTATTATTTAAAAGGATGATTAATTATGAGAACGCATGCTGTTGCTTGCTACTGTTACATCGAAATAATGAATATTATTAAAGTAACATGTTATTTCATTACAAACGATAGATATCACGATGAATTTATATTTCAATTCTTTAACAGAATGATGCTGCACTTATTAAAATGTTTATGAAAGAAGTTGATGAACTTTTATATATATTTATAAGATTAACGAACTTATTTTTCCCCGAGAAAAAAAACACATAAATTAAATAAATGTATCTACAATCTTCTTAATACTGTGTACACCTTCTGTTCAGTAATGATTCTCAAAGATACTCGTCCATGTCAGAAATTGCAATCTGTCCGAAGAAATATATACTATCGTATAATAATTCTACACTATCTCTTTCATTAAAAATTTTAATAAACCACCCGACCATTGTTAAGTAATTATAATATTGTATTGGTATTGGCCGAGATAAGTGTACGTCGATAATATATTTTTAAATAGAATCGTGAGATATGTAGGTACTCGATCAATTTGTGGTCGACGCTTCGACTACTTTTAAATACAAAAACATTCGCGAATCTTAACAGAACTTTCACGGAGATTCTTTGCAAAAGACTTTAAGATTACCAAATCTCGAGAAGAGAATGTAAAAGGTCACATTTAATTTACCATGTTCCTTATTAATGTCTTGTCTTTCAGGTAAATCTGTCTCGTTACAGACAGAAATTTGGGTTAGATTTATTCTTAGATCTTACTGCTCAATTTCGCCCTTTACACTGAGGATATCGTTATTGCATTTGCTCTTCATTATTTTGCTTCTCTTCACTGCAATTTCTCCTACCTTGTTTTTTGCAATCAACAGAACTTGAAAAATCGAGGATATCAGAAGAGTTAATCACTGAAACCATAATAAACTTTCTTTCTCAAAAAGTTTATAAAGAAGCGCTAAATTGTTAGTTGCTTGGGCTTCAACAAGAATCCTCAACGAGGGTCATTGTTTATAAAAACTTCTAATTGAATTCTAGAGTAATTTAAGAGCTCAAACTATATTAAAAACTCCTCGACGTAATCGTCTTGATATTGTGAAGAACCGTTTGTTTGTCTGTAGAAATGTGATATACAATTATTACGATATTCCATTCACCCTGTAAAGATCAATCGCGAGAGGTGGAGACCAGAGTGACACAGAGTGATAAAATTCGACGCGATCGCGAATCCTAGGATCGGTGGACTCTAGTTTGAGAAACGCTGCCTTGAAAAATTGACCCCATGGCAATCGAAAGGTTATTGTCAGCTGTACGTGCACGACGCGGCAATCAACGTGTTAACGGCATCGATAATAAAAATGAACTGCCACGAAGGCGTTCCTTATTGCTTGAAAGCTCGAAGAGACCTCTAACTCTGGATCGAGATTCTCGATGGAAAAACTATAAATCTATTAATAGAACTCGAATAAATTTCACCGTATCGTTATTGTCAGTATAGTAGAAGCTTTCGATACATTTTTGAGCATCGACTGATATAAGGCGCATCGATGAACCTGAGTGCAGTGAACAACTATGTATGCCCGATAATATATTATTATTGCGCGGGCGCGGGTCAATAATCGAGCACGTTGCCTGGCGACGCTGCTCCTGCTCTCTCTCAGCATCCGGAATTTCTTCTTCTGCGACTACGTACTCCTGCAGCTGCAACGCGCAGAAGTCGAGCAACCTTCGATACATCCTCATCGGACCGGTTTCGGCTCCACTGGCTTCGAAACGTTTCTTCCCGCCAGCTGGGTAAGTCGAACTTTTAGTTGCACTTCGTTTTCTTTCCTTTTCCTCGCAATCACCCACTGGGTTCGCGTTTGTTCGCCTTTGTCTCTTATCTGGCGCTCGGCACAACTTCAGACTTACGGCTCCGTAGTCAAAATTCAACGAACTTTGCCCACGCAACGATGGTGATCGTCTCCAACGAAGCACCTAGTACACTTTAATACATACCAGTGTTCTTTTGCACTAGGATCCAAATATCTTGTATATACTCTATATTCATGATTGTGATTCTTCTTGAGGAAAGGAGAAAATATTCTTAATACGTTTGAGATTTTCATAGCAATAATTATTCTACTATCTTTTCATGTTACTTTACATCGATGCCTTTACGACGTAGGAATATTTTTTGTATTTAGAAATCTTTCAAACTATCGTTAGAGGTAATGCTTTCAACATTCAAACTATTCCAATTCGATACCAAGAACCAATAAATTCTTATTTGATACTTATGCTATACAAGGTCTGTCAGAAAAGTAACCAAACTTCTTGAAAGTAACAAAACACAGTCAATTTCGAGGGGAAAATACTTTATTTTATTTCTAGGTCTCTTTGTAAGACATCTATAAGGATAATGGTCGCAACTTTTTGGACGTCTGAAATATTATAATGATTTCCTTTCATGGTTCTTCGGTTTTATTCTCAAATAATAGTGAAGACCATCAATAAACATTGATTAAAAGTAGTTCAGTTCTTTTCGAACAATTCAAACGATGCCTTTATCTATAGAACATTTTGTGTAGAAATTTTATAAAATTAATGTCTTCCTAAGCTGTCTCAAACCATTTGTAAACCGCTATACTTTTTGCATCAATTGATACGTTTCAGTGAACGTTCAAACAAGTATAAAGCAGAACGTAATTCTTGACTTTTTGTTCGAAACTCAATTTCCGACTCACGAATAAAAACTATTTTCCTTGTTAGTGTTAGAATTTGATTTGTAATGGCCCAAATGTACATGTTTCTCGGTGACAAGAATTTTATTTAGATGTCACTACTAGTTTGTCCTATTCTTAAGAAGTTCGGTTAGTTTAGAGACAGACTGTACAATAGCATATATTTATATTAAATTAATTTTTAGAATTACAATTCGCATTTGTCTCAGTTTAAATATTGTAACCCATTTCCAATCCAGATTAAAGACTGTTAACGTATTGTCGTATGAATTTTAAATGCTTCTAGACCCGTTTTATAGTTGAATCCAATGGTTCGCTAGTTATGTGGAGGAAAAGTAGAAAGTTAGCTAACACCGGTACCCATACACTTGGAATCGAAAAGGAATGTGAGAAACAAGACAAGCAGAGTCTCGGAGTACGACGTTCGATCGAGAAGAAGTTTGAAAAGTTATGTGGTTTCCGATTGGACGATTTGTCGTCGTTTGACAAATTTACTGTGTTGTTATACCGTCCGAGCGATCCAGCCAGTCTAGGAATCGTCAGAGCACTTTTTGGTGAGCGATTTCTCATTTCATACAAATGCAAAAAATTTCTAATGAAAAAGACAAGCACAAATACATTGATTGATTTTAAATTACTTTTCAACGTGTTGTTTTCGAAATCGCTAAAATTTCAAAATATGAATTCAAATGTCCAGCTAAATGTTCTGAAATTTTATAGAAATCATATTCCCTCGATACGTCAGAATTTAGTCGTAGAATTTTAGTGAAATATTTGTAGGTTTGTGCATGGTATTGGACGTCGTGGAAGAGAGAGGATTGGCAGACGTCGATATAAAATGGGGAGACCCTCTGGATTGTCATTTTCCATTGATTCATGGAATGAAACCTCCGCCACTGGCATGGATCATACTAATTTACACCATAATGTGGATGGGTGCGTTTGGAATTATGCTGGGCTCGCGCTTCAAACTCGCTTGCGCCTGTTTCGTAGTTCCTTACTGGTACATCTTCCTACTGGATAAAAGCTACTGGAATAATCACACGTATCTCTACGGGATCGTTGCGACTCTCCTCTGGAGTACGGAGGCAAACAAGTACTTGTGAGTTTGAAAGGAAATGTCTCATCTGAACGGGAAAACTGGTTCGTGATCGGAGACGTGAGTCAGGATCTTGTAAATACTAAACTAAATTCGAAATCTTCATATTCGAGCGAAAAGAAATTTCCTTCGCGTGGAACGCGTAATCTCGAAATAATCTGCAATTATTTGATCAGCGAACATTTGCACAAAGAATCCGAAGTTACGATTGCCTTCGCGTAACTCCTTAGTTTGCGTCGATCGAAAACATTTGTTAGCATTTCTGAAAGAGGAAAATTGTTTAATTGCCTTCTTGCAGTGCGTTTGACGCTGCAAAAGCAAAAGATTGTACAAGTTCCGTGCCACTATGGAATTACTTCATCATGAAGTTTCAATTCTTCGCGCTGTATTTTTTAGCTGGCTTGAAAAAGTCCAGCGCGGAATGGCTGTCAGGTTATGCCATGACGAATCTATCGAGACACTGGGTTTTTAGTCCGTTCAAGTAAGTATAACACCTTGAGAACCATTAATCTTTGCACGGTCATTTTTGGCCGAATAAAAATCGTTCGTTATTCGAACGTTTCAGATTATTCTTAACCGCCGAGCAAACTGATTTCTTCGTTGTCCATTGGTTTGGATTTATCTTCGACCTGACGGTTGGATTTTGGATGTTGTTTGACAGAACTCGCATTCCTGCCATGTTCTTCTGCACTGCTTTTCATTTAATGAATTCGCGACTGTTTAGCATAGGTAATTCCTGCGATAACAAAACTAAAATTATCTCAGTAAAATATTTAAATGTTACGATAATTTGAAGGTTGTAAAAACGTTACAATTTTCAATGTTTGCTCGCAGGAATGTTTCCATACGTGTGTCTCGCGACAATGCCCCTCTTCTGCAATGCAGATTGGCCGCGAAGGATCAATTCCAATGTAAAGCGCAACTATACTCCACTTTCCTCCCAAAATCAAGACACGAGTCGCTACGATGAACCTCCGACAAAATCTAACGATATTCGCGAAGAAACGACCGCCCTGATCGCCTCTGAAAAATCAAACGACAAGGTTTCGAATCACGAAACGATTGAAACTTTGCCCAGGGAATTGAACACTGAGATATCTATCGAATCTACCAAAGTAAAAAATCAACAAGACACGATGGCGGCGCCAAGGCACAAAACGAAGATCAGAATTGTTTACAAAGGCGTAAAAGGAACTCGTCTCAAGTCGACAGGTGCGACGAAGAAGCAAAAACTTGTAGTATCTCTATTACTCTTTCACGTGGTTTTACAATTTTTTCTTCCGTACTCTCATTTCATTACGAAGGTACACCATGTCTCTAAAGACACTAATCGTTCGATCGCGCAACTGTCTTCCTCATCGAAATTTCTTCTTCGTCTTTAGGGGTACAACAATTGGGTGCCAGGACTGTATGGTTATTCTTGGGACATGATGGTCCATGCTTGGGACACCATACTCGTCGTGATCAAAGTTCACGATAACGTGAGCAACGAGGATCGTTACTTGGATCCCAAAGCGTGGGTGCAAACCGATCGATGGGAGAAACACGGTGACATGGCCAGACAATACGCTTTCTGTCTAAAGGTACCAATTATATTTATCGATAAGTTCGTATCGTGATTAAATACAATTGTTGACAATGTTTGTGCACGAATTCTGTGCAAGTAGACTCGTCAGAAGATATTATCGCGAGGTGAATAAGAACATAATCATTTCTGGAAATATATGCTTACAAAACGGAATACAAAAATTGAAATTTTATTTAAAAATATTATACGTGAAACGATCTTTTTAAATTCAAGTATCTGTTGTTCCAGGATAATTTAATCGAACAAGAGAAACATATTTTCAAACGTGATCTTCAATATCAACGTAGAACGAAGTGGACGCGTTTGTCTACGAACTTGAGCATCTACATCGATGTTTGGTGTTCACTGAACGGAAGATTTCAGCAGAGAATGTTTGATCCGAATGTTGACTTATTAACAGTCGACTGGCATCCGTTTAAACCTATTTCGTTCTTGATGCCTCTTCTCTCGCAATATAATTCATATAGGTACGTCAAACTACTAACAACTAATCAATAAATATCGCTTATTATTTATATAAATTGAATCTATTTACTCGATTAATCAGTAACTACCACTTATTACCTATAAAAAGTGAAACTAATAATCTATACAACAAAATTGTAGAGGACAATTTTGAATTTTTCCCAGAAGTGCATCGACGTAGTTGCAAAGTGCAATTAAACTTATTTTTTAAATGGAACTTACTGATTTCTTTTTAGAATACATTAATCGATTCATTAGATCATTCTGCGTTGAGTTTTCTAAATATGTTCCATTAAAAGAAACAAGTGCAATTGTGCCTACTTTGCAACTGCACCAATGCACTTTTAAATTTAATTAAAATTTAAATACTTGTCAATAGAAATAAAATATTTGTTATATTTTAAATTCTCTGAACTCGTATTTACAATTTGAAGCTGTTTCATTTGGAACTTCATTTTCTTGTTTGACGCTGTTGTTAGATACAAGTTGGAAGAAATTCAACAACACGTTTACACGTGGTCAAATGACACCGACGTCCTCTTTGTTGCTGATTTCCCTGGCATGTACCTGGACAATTACATCGCTAAAATTTTTACAAACGTATCTTTGACTGTGCTCGAAGGTGAGGTAACGTACAGCGACGAAGAAGAGACGAAAGGTGTTATTCTTTCGAAAGAATCGTCGATCCCGATAAAGACGGGTCAATTTCATAGAGTGAAGACGACAAGCGCTTATCCAGCTTGTTACATGTACACTTACACCAACAGAGACAAGAAGGAATCGGACACAGAGGGGTATTTATACAATTAATTTTATTGCAAACCACTGCTCGAAAATTGAGATAAAATTATTTTATCGTTGCTCGGAAATTAAGAAAAAATTCCAATTCGACATTCAATTGCGTAATACTATCTTTAATCAATCACGTGTAATTGTTGCTTAGATATTGGTAAGTTCCTACCGATTTTATGTTTTAAATCCTTGGATAAATTCGAGAAATAGCTTTCAGATTTCGGCAGCTCCATTTTAACGTTTGATAAGAAATAATCCGGTCCTAATTCCGTTGAATTGTTTTGATGATACAAATGAGTATCAATTAGATCACGATCGCGATAACATTGATAAGAAATAGTTCCTCGTTGATAGTCATAAACGTCGGAGTGTTATCGTTGTTGAACCTAAGATCTACTACAAGTACGTTGCGGTTGAAAAATCTTGTCATACCGTGTATAAAACAAGAACTGATCGATCAAACAGATTTTAAATGTATTATCAAAGACTTTGCTAATTACGAAACAAGAAATATAACTTTGTTAAAATTGCAGTTCATTTTTTTACTTCAAAAGTGAATAGGGAATCCTAGTTAACGAGTTAAAAACGAGTGTAATTAATTTTGAACATTTGTTATTTTGCAGAGAAATCGAAGATACACCGAGGGAGCCTTTTTCAATCAGAAAGGAAATTACTTACATGATCGAAGCCTGGTTGCGAGCTTTGAATCACATTGCAAATGCGTTCTTCAACTTAGTTTACAACGTTCCGATGGTGCGGAGAGTAAACATCAATAAATAATACGAAGAAAAATTGATTGCAGTCCAAAAAGTTCAGACTGATATTTCATCTGCTTTTTAAAAATACATCAAGACCATAAAGAATGTATTTTCATACGTATCTGAATTTGATTTCGATGTAAACGATAAGACAGATTCGTATAAACGACGTTTTAATGTCTTTCGATACAGAAACAATTGATGATTGTTTGCAATACGGCAACGTTACCTATTGCAACAGCTTTGAAATATGTTCGAGGAAGTATAATCGCTGTGATGCAAAGAATAACTGTTGTTCACTCTTACTTGTCAAGGTATAATTATTATTATCTTTTTATTGTTTTGAAGAACATGCTCGCTCCAACATATTTTTGAACCGTTGAAATCGTCGAGGTCGTCGCCAATGTGAATATTTATCAAACAATTTTTGACACAATAGAAAAGTAAAGAATTAAATTATTTACGCGTATACCTGACATGATACATAATTATACAATAAAAGAATTACGTTGAGTTATGTATTATTTTCATGATACATGAAATTTGAAGACTGCAATTTGTCCAAAGATATAATATATAAACGATCGTGTATAACATATGTAATAAGTGTAAATATCGAACTGCAGGAGGAAAACAGGCCAAGATTGAAAACGTTTAGCACTTTTATATTTAACGTAGGTCGCGAGATCAAACTTTGCTCCCTTTAACGCGCACAAATCGAACGTTCCTGAGGTAACTGTGCAGAAGAAAATGAAAAAGTGATGCCGTGGCAAAAGTAATCTCAAGAACGTCGCGCATGCGAAAATATACGCGCGATTAAACGTAAACGTATGATCGTACCGTGCAATTGAACGAGGAAGATAAATGGTCAACAACCTTCCTTGATTATGTATTAATGTACAACTTCGTGTAAAAATTAACGAAACCTTGATATCGAAGGAACTTCGTTAATTTGATACTTCAGAATCACGTGTAAAAAAGGATTATTTGCTATATTTATTGAGAAAAGAAGTTTAAAGCGATAACGATTTTAAATGAAAAATTATGTGAAAAATTGAACTGTATATTATCCGTTTGTTATCAGAGTTGAAACCAGCCAATGTGTCTACACAGTTACAGATTTCGCAACAGGTGTTCGCGTTAATCAAAGATTTTGGCGCTCGACGAATCATATAATCCTACTCGCTCGTTAGTTTCGCATCAACTCTTAATATAATGATTCGCTAAAAACAAATTGCACGTACGCTTACGTGTTTACGACATGCAATTAAGCATTCTTCGTTCGAGATTAGAAGGTAAAAGAATCGCGTGAATTTGATAGCCCTCGAGTCTCGACGGTAAGCCTCGCGATAAGTAGTAACATTGTCTGCTAAGTTGAAAGCAAATGCATCCGATGGATCTGATAATCATCTCAGTCACGTATCAACGGTTAAGGTAGCCTCGTGAGCAGCAGTGCTCAAAGAATAACCCGAGACATTCGGCCGATTATGCAACGAACAGCATCGTGCTATCTGTAATCTTCGCAACACTATCTTTAGCACGCTTTATCAAATGTATTGCATGTAACTACGTTTCTGTAACAACTCACGTCTTCGTTCTGCAATTTCGTCAAGGACGATTCAACTGTACTCGGCATAATCGTTCGAAAAATAGCGCAAGAAATTAATTCTGGAACGGCACACTTGGAGTCTTTCACGTTTGCAGAGATTTTCGCGCGTTTTTAATACGTAAGAAATTCTGTAACAATTCACCGAAATACTTTCAAGTACGTAATTTAACACTACGAATTTCGAATGCTCCAAAGTAATCAAGGAAATAATTAAATCTAACGAGATACGGTGAATAATAGAAAATAGTTGTAGAAAATAAATGCCAGTTAAAAATAAATATCTATGTATATAGAATAGGCGCTATCTAATTCGCTATAAAATTATGATTTCTTGTTAAAGCAATAAGTAATCATTAAATAAATGAGCAAATTTTATGTACAACAATGTTCACAAATATAGTTCCTACGTAATGATACGAACGTCCAAAAGACTTTTCATTTCTGCACACCGAGGTCTTCTACGATCTCCTCCTACGTGAATTTATTATTATTCAGACTGTGACTTATATGTTTCTTTATCACATTTATATCAGTATCAAGTCTTTTTTTAAAATGATGACAAGTCCATCGAATAAACTACTTTTTATTTATGTACATGGAAAATTTTGTTAGGGTCATGAAAGACTCCAGTGTGCCATTCCAGGTTTAAATGCAGAACCGTCGACGTCGACGAGGTCTGATAAACATTATCGATAAGTCATCGACAAGATATAGTTAATATTGTTGTTCGACCTTACTACTAGTTCAAGTTTGAATAGCTTGAAATAGAATTCTAGTTTCGCTATAAAATATTGCAAAATATACAAACTAAATATCGTACGATGCGATATCGAATGCTATTTATACAAAAATTTGCAGAAAACAGCGAATTATTGGTTTTTCTAAGGTCGTTTACCAAGTGTACTAAATAAACGAATCGGCTATCATTATCACACAATAGCCATCAGAATTACTCTGTGTAGCTTTGGTACCTGATCAAAGTCTTCCTTATCTAGATACGTGGCTAAAGAAACCGAGCGATCGTCAGCAGTCGCGTGGAATCGACCGTGCAGAGGGTTTCGTTCTGAAAAACGTTGCAAGATGCAGCAAAATTGCATTACCGACGAATTAGGCGAAACATTGGTGGACATAGGGCGATAGAAAACGGAATAATCAACCTGGACTACGTGAACGAGACGTTCGAAGTGTTGTGTAATGTGTTTAATACAGTGCAAATACGTCGCGAGCACTTGGAACGCGGCGATGACACTGACGAAGTAATTAACCATTATTGAAAAGACAATTGCGAGGAAGTGGACAATATCACGGAAGTAACGACGCGAATGAGTGTTATTTATTTGGAGCCTTAGAAGATGATGGTGTAACCAACATTGTTGTTGGCGCATCGGTTAGTAGATATATCGTAAAAAAAAAAAATAAATTTCTGTGATTTTAAAGATTACTTTATAATGTATTCTCACGGTTCTATTGTTGTAGTTAATTTATAATTGTTGTTGATGAACTAAAAATATAAATAAATTGAAGCTTAGTTGCTTGTTTCGGTTAAAATAAATCATATTCCTTGATACTCTTTCTGTTTTATTTTCAGAAAGAAAGATGTCTGTCGATCAAGAGGACGATACAGTGAAAGCAAAGGACACAGATCCTTTATTAAAGGCGCTCGACAAACTCGGATTAGGGTCAAATTTTTTGTCGATAATATTTATTTTTACGCTCACGCCGACAATATTTAATGGGTTGCATTCCATGTCCTATATTTTCATTGCCGAAGTAAGAATTGTTTATTATATAGGATGATTCTAAAGCGAGAGACTTGCCGTAGCTCTGTTATAAGTAAAAAGACAAATCATTCTACTTCTTTTTTTAAATAGAATCATACTGATTTTCATTAATCTACTCTGCTATTATACATGTAAAACTATTAAGGCTTTTTTGATACCAAAGCTGAAATTCTTTCAATTAATACTAATAACAACATAGCATAAAACTCCAAACAAATTGAAGTTATTGCTACTATTTATTATCTAACCTAATCCAGGTTACCTTAACCTGACATGACTTCTTTAAAAACAGTAATATCCTGTGTATTATAATCGTCTATTTGAAAGGAAACACAAAACAATACTACTTTTCATATTCGGTAAATGTAGCTTCGCGTATACAACGATTTGTATAAATAATTAACGAACTTCTTATTTACCTAGGTCCCCACACACTGGTGCTCGGTGCCAAGTCTGACCGCCGCGAATTGGACAGATGAACAAATAAGAAATATTTCCTCGGCCAGTCCATGCACCATGTACAATTATGACTATGACAAATTTGCGGAAATTGGATTCGATAAAGCTTTGGAATATAAAAAAAACAACAAACTACCAAAGGAACTCTCGTGCGAAGTGAGAAGCTTCGCGCATGATCTCGATACAACTTCATTCGTTGAAGATGTGAGCGTTTATTTTCTCGCAATTGCACTTCTCAAGGAAAAAAATTAAAAATGATCTACATACGTTACGAATTGGGGTGATGTTAATGGAATTGAAAATTATTTTAGTGGGACTTGGTCTGCGACAAGGCCGCAGCTCGTTCGAGCACTCACATGGCTCTGTCCCTCGGAAAATTATCAGGCAGTGCGTTCTTTGGGATTTTCGCGGACAAATACGGACGGAAAATCAGTTACGTCATTGGAATAATATTGTTAATCGTCTCTGGCCCAGCTGGTGCTGTCGTTCCTTGGTACTGGGCCTTCATGGTCTCGAGGTTCTTTAATGGCGTCAGCCATGCTGCGATTCAATACTCAGCGTTTACAACACGTAAATTGTGTTTTATATCTAACAATGCAATGACAGTTAAATAGATTCGTAATTAAACATTCGACATTCTCAAGTTGAGGAGGATAAAATTTTTACTAATAAAAGCAAATAAAATATAGAACTAATCTCATTCGAACTTGAAATAATTAAAGGAATAAATTATACAGTTACAGAAGTAGCAAGCGAAAAACACAGACAGTGGATGGGAATTGCTTACAATACAGGCTACGCCTCAGGAACTGTCATTATACCGGGTATAGCTTATGTTCTACACGAATGGAGACATGTTCAATTGGCAATATCTTTGCCTGCTCTACTCTTGTTAATACACTTATGGTAAGCAATTATATCCAAACAGTAATGCCATACATTTTTTTAATTCAATCTTAAGCAGCCATTAATGTACACCCAAAACATCTACTATTCAGAATTTCGTAAAAATTGAATCGTTTGACAGATTATTTAAAGATAAATTTTCTTTTTGGGATTTAGAACTCAGGATTTAAATTTAAATTTAAATTCAAATCTCTTCAGGTACATGCCAGAATCTCCTCGGTGGCTGATAGCGCACAATCGTCGCAAGGAAGCGAAGATTTTAATCGAGAATGCAAGCAAAAGAGATTCCAATGGAACAGGAACGACAGAGTTAGCGACTACTGTATATAAAGAAAATTCGAACAATACGATGGCCACCATCGAAACAACCAAAGAACGATTGAAAAAAGATATCAAAGGTTTCCGAATTCTAGTCAGTAACGGTGAATTGCTGAAAAGGCTACTTATCACGAATTTCAACTGGATGGTGGCCTCGCTCTCTTATTACGCACTAGGTAATCAAATAAGTAGAGCTATTCCATATCTTGTAATATGTTTAACCCCTCCAATTATTTTCTCTTTTATATCATGTATTTTTAATAGTCTCGAGTGTAAATGACGACTTTGAATTTCAAACTTTGTCGATGAATTTTTGTTTTGACAATCACATCGTATTGTTTCAGCATTAAATATGAGCAACTTCTCGGCAAATCAGTACATTTATGTTCTCGTAATGGGATTGACTGAAATACCGGCTTACTTGATACCAACGCCAATTTTAATGCTCGTGGGGCGACGAATTGGAGCTGGAGCTTTATACATAATCGCAGCCATATGCTTATTATGTATTTTGATAATACCGACTGCAGAAACCGATACGATTCTGATTGTATCACTGATCGGAAGATTTAGTGCGTCAGCTGCTTATGGCATCGTCATTTTATATAGCTCGGAGCTTTTTCCAACGGTAAGTTTGTAGCTATTTTTAAACTTGCAATAATTTCTAACGATCGCTTATTTAATAGGTATGCAGAAATTCCGCGATTGGAACAAATTCTGCAATGTCACATGTCGGAAGTATAGCTGCACCTTTCGTCGCTGATTTGTTAGCAATAGAAGTGTGGTGGGGACCAACAACCCTTTGTGGTATTCTAACCCTAATGGCTGGTTTACTGTGTTTGACATTGCCAGAAACTCGTGGGAGACCTTTAGCAAACACCATCGAAGAAGAAATCACAAAAGATCGAGAAAATGTATCGTTCTGCAACTGCTGCAAGTGCAGTTGAGAGAAGACATAAATTATTCTTCCATATATTTGCTGCAGAACGTACCTTATTGTAACAATATACACCTTATTGTTGCAAAAACCTTCGATAATACATTTTTGCTGTTTTGTATGTCATTGTTTTTATATTCCTTTGTATACTTCGGTGGACTGTTTTAATCAGAAATATGAAATAAATCTATAAAGAAGCCAAAATGTATTTCAGAAAATGCTTTAATGCAACCCTTAACCATTCAACATACTTGATCGAGAAATTAGTCTTCACCTCGTACGATTTTTAAACGATCTATATTATAAATCCTTTGAAGTCTCAAACAGTAATAGATAGTATATAACAGCCACAAGTACAAATTGATTTATGTCCTACGATTAGTTTGTGATTATATTTGTAAAAAGTTTTTTACACATTCGTGGTGAAGTTTGAACAGCGCTCGAATAAATAGTTTAATAATAGCAGAGCTATTTGTTCGGTACAAATTCTGTACTGACTATGTTACGTAACGTCACCTATTATCGTAATTATCTGACCGCTGTAATACAAATGTTCAGGTCAATTACTATTATAAATTCCTATACAATACACGTCCTCCACAATGCAAAGTTTACCAATCTAGATGCAATTATTTTTCTTGATAAAAATCACAAATGGTCACTCGCTCTGTTCCTTTGTCCCGCGTCATGGAAGTGAAGTAATAAATTATTTTTAAAACCCAGATATAAGTAAAAGTCCGCGTAACGCGAGTTTCATTTCGTCAGAAAAATTCAAACGTTGAAGAGTTCTCTGTGCTTGAATCATGAAGACTTTGGCATTGCTATTGTGTCTCTTTTACAGCCATGTACGAATCAATGATTTTAATGAAAACAATTCCGTACCATTTGTAATTAATTTATCATTTATTCTTCTCAATTCGTATCGATTTCAGGTAATCGTGGCTCAAGCTACAGTTGAATCGTTCGCAGAGAAGATAGATTTTTCTGTGGAGAATGTGACGATATGCACCGAGCGTTCGGGAGTAACAGTCGGTAAGCAGATCATAATTCTACATTATTCGTCTAACGTCTGCAAAGTTAAAATTTTTTATATTTTTTTTTTTAGAGGAATTGGAGGATGTTGAAAAACAGGCACTTGAAAATGGCGAAAAAAATGTGTCAGAAGACATGAAAAAGATTGGATGCTTTTGGGCATGTCTTATGCAACAACAAGGCGCGGTAAGATGTACATGATAATTTACACGAGAGAATCGAAGAATGATAGACGTGTTTTTATCAATATTCAGATGACAGGATCTACTATCAACGGCGATCAAATGACCAAATATATTCGTAAATTTGGTGAAAAATATGGTGACGAGGATATAAACTCTGACTTGGACAAGTTGGTAGAAGATTGTGCAAATTCTGGTAAGTGAATTTATTAAGTGAATTTCGAATAGTCCGAAATCGTTACTTTCTGTTTAACATATATGTACGTGTTACAGTGAAAGACATAGATGACGAATGCCAAGCCATTATGAGCTTCCACATGTGCACAGCTAACTCTAGGAGTCCTTGAATGGAAATGAACCGTATATGAATTATAATACGCAATAATGGTGTGATTTGTAGCAAATAAACAGTAGATATTGTATTAAAGGAATAAGATTCTCGTGGTCGATGCATCCTCCTTCCTATGAATATCGTACTTAAAATACGTTTAATATTATAGAACACGCGATAAAACTAATCAGCGAGAAACGTAGATACGATTGACATGCGTTCTAGCACAATTCGATTATGTTTCCGTGTTCGCCAGATGGTTGCAACTATCATTCCTCAGTGAAACATCGACTAGATGTGAATATGTTTGCTAGAAAATTAAGGATCTACCAAACTACGGGTACCAAATTTGAAGAACTGATAAGGTAGAGGACAAACGTTTTCATTTCTTATCGTTTTACCGGAGAACTTGTTCGGTATCTGAGCCCTTGGGAATAAGATTGGCGAATGTTGCACCATTTCAAGAAACTGATCCATAAAGTTCCAATTCTTACACGAATCTGTTATTCTCAGGGACTCGTTTTACGCCAGAATTATTTATTCGAATCCAATACAGTCGACTATATCTATTTAATGCATTAACGAATGCAGTGTTGCTACTTGGCAGAAGATTTTAGTAGCAGTGCTAATACTCAATGTTGTCGGATTCATACTGTGGACACGCTACGGGCTACTGGAAACAATATACGACGAAACAATGACAACCTACAACGATAATTGGCACGTAGAGGCCACGGAGACTCAACAGAATTTGGGTGCAACGGTTGCACAGGGAACAATTACGGACTACTGTCGTATCACAGAATGCAGAACCATAACGTGCTCGTTCATTCCGACTACCTCCGACGCTGGAAAGGTTGCATCCAACTTCATCGAAACTGTTTTCAAGGTACCAAAAGCAGAGACAACGAAATCAGAATTTCATTATTTGGAGTAATGTTTTTAGATTACGTGGAACAATTGTGTGATGTGTCAAACAGATTCTTCAGCAAAGCTTTCATAGCAGATTTTATCTTAAACTCTGTTCTCGACGTCATGTTTCTTTTAAAATTCAAAAGTGCAACCGATCTGCTATAGAAGCTTTATCGAAGAATTAAACGCAGTAATATTGTTTCATGTAACCAAAACAGGTATTAATAATCTTGAATTAATTTATGAAATATATTTTGCACGTCTCACATACGTTTATCAAATAAGGGCACGATACATATCGATAGAGACCATAGTCTATTAATAATGGTCGGAGCAAAGACATCATCAAGTAACATTGTATCGATCGATAAGCCTTTCCAGATTTATAATTAAATAATTACCAGAATCTTACTTTACTTTTTGACTTAACAATCCGCGAAGACTTATCGATCAACCCGATGTTATATTCTGACTTCTTATCCCTGCTTCTCAACTAATGTTTCATGTAGGTTAATTGCAAGAACGTTAAATCAGTCAAGTTGTCATTCGACAAGTGCAAATTCTCGGCGAACAAGCTTCGAAAGAATTGGCTGCTCACCAACGTGTCGATCGAAGAGTTGACGCTAAGCAACTGTTCCTTGAACGAAATAGACGACGACGCGTTTACCAAATCTATTTACAAGGAAATGAAGAAAATCAACCTGATTAACAACAACCTTTCCTCTTTAAGAAAAGCGATGTTTCGCAATATTAGCGCGTTAGGCGAGTTTTCCGTTCGAAACAACATTCTCAAACAAGCAGAATTTAATTTACTGGAACATGTAGCGAGTTCTCTCTCTATTTTGGACTTGTATGGTGCCATCGATGACCCGTGTGTACTACGAAACATAACAGGAGGAGACACTCCTCTAAATATTCAGATATTATCGTTACGGGGAAACACTATACCAGTGATAAGTCGCGAATTGTTTGAAGGAGTACCGACAGTACAATCTCTCTATCTCGACTACTCGAAAATCATAACTATATCGCAGGGTGCTTTGGAACCTATAGCTGCATCCATTTTGCAATTGATAATAAACGACAACAACATTCGGTCCCTGCCAGAGGGACTTCTCGATTCGATATTAAAGTATGGACAACCTTTTCACACGACGCTACACAACAATCCTTGGAATTGCGAATGCAGTTTGCAATGGATGCAGGACTTCCTTCAAACTCATCCCAACATAATGACCAGCGCGCCAATCTGTTCCACGCCTGATTCGAATGCGGAGAAATCATTTTCTACGGCCACGTTTTGTTCATCGGATTCCACTACTTCGGTTACCAGAAGTACCACGAAAAGTACGAAGCACGATTGGGGCCTGACTACGTTCGAAGCACCGACTACTAGCCAAGAAGCCACACCAGAAGGTATCCATTTAAACTGTAGCATCTCCAACACGATCCTCCAAATGACTACTTTTCTATCCACGGATATTCGCCTCCCGCCGCGTTTTCCTGACTTCTTCATCCTCAAGAACATGAATCATGGCGTGTTAATCAACCTACCGGACCTGGAAGAGGGAATCGTGTTGCTCTGGTTCAACAGCGATGACGTCGAGAACTCGCTCAGCTGTGCAAAAAACGTCAAGCACACCTATCTACTGCAGAATATCGATCCACAGACTACGTACACGATCTGTTTGCTCAACGATAACGATACGACCATATCCCCGTTGAACTGTCTGTCCGTGACCACGAAACCGACGTACAATTCCAAGACTTGGTTAACGAACGCTGACAAGAGCGTCATCTTCTTGACATTCTTCGTGTCGATGCTCTTGTTTCTCGTCATCGGTGCTTTCATAGCGTTCATGCTGATAAGGAGGAACCCGTCGTTGCTGCGCGGTAGCAAACGCGTAATGCTGGTGAAACGCAGAAACGTGGACGCGATCGTCCTGCCGAAAGGAGTAAACGTCGACGAGACAAAGCGATCGTGCGGAAACGCGACCACGGTCAGCAACAAACTGCTCGAGGACGGATACATTACTCCTCTACCTCCAGCACCGATGCTTCTCCCCAGAGGACGAGTGTCCAGAGTCAGTATGCAGAGCGACTGGAACAGCTACATGTCCGAGTTTGAGGCTACGGAGCAGTTGGACTCTTGGAGGATGACAAGATTGAACAACGAGTTGGAAAAACAGAAAAGCGAAGCTCCGCCCTTGCCACCCCCTAACTCGATACCCTCTGTATCTCTGATACTGGACTCGAGGGAATATAATTACATCTGTCAAGACACTGTTGTTTAGAATCTCGTTAGATCCTTCGAAACTACTGTTCTGAATTTGTATTTCGTATTCAATGACTACGACGTTTATTTAGTAAAATAATAAATGTCCTAAATATACCCAGATGCACTGTCACGATTTATTTTTACGGGGGACCTTGTTCGGTTCCTAAACAGTATCTTTCACGATAACCGAACGACAGCTATGAAATCGTTCGTAACGAACTGCGCGAGTCGTACATTTTGCAACGGGAAAATAAATAATTCTTGACTCATCGGTCTAAATCTTATTAAATCTGGCCCAGAGCCACGGATGTCAATGTCAGTTTCGAAGATTGTGTGTAACGTTAGCGCTTGGATCCTAGGAAAAGATAAATGAAAATGTGAATCTATTTGATCGTGGTTATCGATTAACCTTTCCTACATTTAACTGCGATTTATTAGAGATACTTATGCGAAAGTTTTATGCGTCCTCAAGAAATTGGCTAGCTTTGCTTGCTCCACCTATTCCCACTTTGTGGAACGATACATGTGATCGTGGGGAGCCAATCAGACCCACATTCCTTTCGATAGCCAACTTTTCGCGGACACACATTATATATTTCTGTACAAGTGTAGATCATACTATTTTCAACAATTATCATTAAAATCTAAAAAACCTAAAACTGAAATGCCTAATTATCGAGAAACCTTCATAGAAAATTGGCAGTATGTAATATTCTTATAAAGAAACGTGAACGAACTTATTACACAACCCAATCTAATAGAATCACGTGTAGTCGCGAAGTTAGTGGCTTTCAACCGACTGTTGATTGTTGTCATTGACTAGCTCCCCCCTGTCGTTTATTTTTGACGATTAGGTCAATGGTTCGACTCTATTGTCAAAGCTCTACCTGATTGGCTAAGTCCTCAGAATTGGTTGCCAGCCGATTGTTTTTGCACGTGCCAGCGACTGGCAATTCACTGCATTTCTCTAAAAGGACTCAATGCCAATATCAAATTGCTACACTCTTGGACTCGTCGAGATCAGTATAATCATTTTCACGCTCGCTCATTGCGTGCAATGGAAATGACTGGCTATACGCGGAGACGCGTCACTGGCTTTCTACGAACGTTATCAAGAGTAGTTCCGGATTTGCGTGAACTTGACATTGTCGAATGATGCAACCCTAAACGTAATTCATTCCCATTTCCCACTTTACAGCTGGCTATCTGTCTTCGACTAAGGCATGATGCAATTATCCTACTGATTTCCCGGTTCTTCACATTCACATTTTCAGTAGTTAAACATCCAAACCTTATCGTCGATTCTATTTTATGTTAGGTCAAACACATTTTTTAAACGAACTGACGTTGACATATATTTTTTCAAAGGACAATTAATTTAACGAGCCACTTCGAACGTGATTTGAAGCCTAGAACTCTTATAAGTTTTGATTGTTTTGGAAGTCTTGCGAGTTTTGGTGAGTCATGAAAAGTGAATTAGTATTTGACAACTCACAAGTACTTTTATTATTTGTAGATTACGTATTCCTGCATAGCCGATGCAAAAAAGTTATTGTCGTTTAATACTTGTTTTGAAGATATAATTATTATAAACACTTTATTGTCTTATAAACAAAACCCAGCCACAAGATTTGGGTTTATTTATAAAACAGTAACAACGAACACACAGTTGTAAGTTTAAAATAAATTATAATCACATATTCGTGCGTCGTGTTCAAGTGCACCTAACAGGAAGCAACCCGATGTACGCGTGAGTCGGAACGACGCTTATGATTATGCGAATTCTGCTATAATCACGTACGAGTCATAGACAAGGTATACAAGTAGACGTTATATCCAACGTATTTACTCGACTTATTTCTTTAAAATTTTAGAGCCTCATTATTATTTCGGTGTCACTCCCAACATTATCAACAGGCTATAGAATACGACCATAGCGCTTATGATGGTAGGAAATGAAATTACAAGAATCCTATTGCCCTTTGCCGGAAGTGTACTGTTCAGCTACTGACAAGGTATACGAGCCCATACGAGATATACGAGTAGACTTTACACTCAATGTATTTTTTTCGCCCATTTTTATGAGGCTCTAGAGCCCCATTACCATTTTCGTGTCACCCGCAACATTACCAACAGGTTACACAAATTAACACAAGAGGAAGTGAAACAGAAAATAAAATTACAGAAACATTTTTGGCCACACATTATATTTTCGGTAAAGAATTTTTTTCTCGAAAGTGCATAGGATTTCGGTGGTATGTCTATTGACCAAAAATGATTGCAATTATTTTTTTAACCGAGAAGATTCTTCATCTACCTCCTGTCGATTTTTCTTAAAAACTTCTTTTTGATTTTTTATAAATTTGTTTGACCTAATAGCAAACCGTTATCAAATTGTTACTCGCGATACTACTTTGAAAGAAAATGCGAAAAATATTCATTGTTCACAACTCTAACATTAACCATGATATATGCATTTATATTAGTCGCAACGCAATCCCACAAGTAAACGCAATAAATATTCATATTTCGCCACACTAATACAATCGTATTAATAATTGTACTAATGAATACTGACGTACCAGGCTGTTCTGCGATGCTGTAACACGTATCAGTGTCATATTTTGGGCATTTTATGTGTCGCAACTCTACAGACAAACGCGATCAATAATTATTCGCAACGCTACCTCAAAAGCAAACGCGTAGAATATAACCGATCGCAACTGAAAAAATAATTAAAATCGGTTCATTAAATTTTCAATGCGATATTTACATTTCGCAAAACTAATGCAATCCGTGATCAATTCTTATACGCAACACTACTCTGAAAGAAAACGCGTAAAGTTTTCATCGTTCGCAACGCTAAAGTTAACTACAAAACTAATTATTTGCAAAATTATCTAGACAAGCAACGCGAATAACATTAATTCTTCGCAACGCTAATAGCAAACCGTTAACAAATTCTTACTCGCGACACTACTCTGAAAGCAAACGCGAAAATATTCCTCGTTCGCAACGCTAAAAGTAATCGCGATAAGTTCAAATTATTCGCAATGCTATCTTCAAACGAAACACGATCATTCGTATATCGCAACACTAATGCAAACCGCGATTTGCCCCGAAATGCTGGTTGTGGTGGTACAAGTACCATCTGAAAAACTACAAATAACTACTACAAGTACTACAACTACACACAAATACAGTGACAAAGTAGTAACAGAAAATGACTTTCCATCCTTATTCGAAGATAAAGATGAAGAGCCATTTGTTGCAGCCCACTCTTGAGACAATTTGTCAGGGCCTCTTCGACTCCATCGAGTCTCTTCTTTCTTCGACGGTCCTGCCAAAGCCTGAAACTTAAACCTACGCTCGAGATTCCGTGCAATACACAGTCCTCCAAGGATTTTGCGAATCGTTATCGGAACAGGTGTGGAAAAACTCGAGCGGGACGAACGTTTCGGGGAACCTACCGCGAACGAACGCGAACGCGAAGAGCGACTGTAAAGTCGCGCGATTCCAAGAATCGAAAGTAAAACCAAAACAAACGGTACAATCCGTTTGGATCGGCTAACGTTTCGATTCTTCAAATCGAACTACAGGTACAGGGCCTGTAATAGCCCTCCCCTGACCCTACCTACTTATGTCTAAACACACACGCCAGAAAGTAAGTTACCTACCTACCTAATCCTATATTTAAAAAATAACAAAAGGCATTCTCTCAAACACACACTCCACGGTTCTCATACAAAATGTTCGGGCGCGGCCTAAACTAGGGAGGACGCCCCGAGGTTCCTCCGACACCCGAACATTGCAAACTTTCACACTCTAAGGTACGTACCATTTGCTGAAATCGGCTGACAAAAACTAGTGTTCATTGCGTATGCCTATTATATGTATAATGTTTTAATATATGTAATATAGACTTTAATAAAATATAATATATGCAAAATTGAGAAGTTAATTAAGCATTTTATAATATTACAGGCGTGTATGTAATATCAACCATTGCCAAATAAATGGTAAATAGAAATTTGAAATTACTATTATGATTAATAAGAATCTAGTGTTACAAAGTTCTGAACCACAAAATAATGAACTATCCAAACGACGCACAACCACAGCCTAACCACACACACACACATGTGAAAGTACGTCGTGCACGATACACTAGCAATGTCAGCCGCACACATGTAGATTGTTATTACAATTCTTACAGTCTAAATCATCGTGTCCATTGCCTTTGCTCCCCCACGTAGCACCTGGGTACGTAGATGAGTTCAGGCAACAAACACGGAAAATTATGCTGAAAATCCTCAACTAGAAAGGCTGATTAGGAAATAATAACGAGATAATATTACTTTTTTTTGTTTTTTTTTCGTATTTTATTCTCAATTGCAATGAATGGACTTTTTATTTGTAATAAATGAAGAGCAAAAATTTAGTGTATATTAATATGAAAAAATGTTAGTATTAAAGAACATTTCTATGATCAAAATTTAATTATTTAAAAGAAAAAACTTTAATGAAGACTTTAAGACAAACTAAATTACTTTGGAAAAAGATAATTCTTTGAAGTAAAATTGAATCATTAATTAAAATATTTAGCTACCCTTGGGTCGATTTCATTGTCGAAGTGATTTATTTAAAAGATGAGAATAGTAAATAATGCATGCTACTTCAACATGGAAATCTACCTGCCGCGAACTGCCTTCCTGTATATGAAATGCAACATCATATTTTTAAACGACTAACAAATGCATGTAGTATCTTCGAAAGACAGTCATCAAATTATATTCTAACATGAAATAAGAAAAATATAAAGAACGATCAATACAATATGTATTGATATAATAATAAATATAATAAAAAGTAAAAAACATCCAATTTCCTCATAGTTACTGTTCATCTTTTAACATTACTCAGTTACATGCTCATATTAATTTAATATGCAGCATTTATCATATTAAAACACGCGAGATACATGAAGGCCCTAGCCTGAGCTAAATAATAAAAAAG